GGTCAATGTTACCGAATTGTATTTTCAGTTAGGGTATTGTTAGTAAACATGTACTATAGTTTTATGGTATCATCAGTTAGTTCATACAATTTAGAATTCGAGGTAGGCCATTAATTTACCTACGTACGCTACACTTGATTGTTTTCTAATTCAAATGACTTCCAATTCTTTTTGTGAAGAAAAATCTATAGGTTTCAGTTTTTTTTTTAAAGCTCGGTTGTGAAAAAACTGTAATAACAACCCAATAACAATTGTATAATTATTGGTTGAGTCGATAGAAAATAATGTCCATTTAAGGATTCAATTTAAAAAACGGAAGAAGTTCAAATAAGTGAGGAGATTTAGGTTGGGGCATTAATTTCACGCGGACTCTTTGTGAAAACATTTTCGACATGTAATAATAATCCGGACTATTTGTGATAACATTTTCGACATGTAATAATAATCAAAACTTTGTGCTAATTATATGTACGCCCTAAGTTTTCTTTTGTTTACTTTTTAATGTACATGCTGGATTTGCTACTTTTTTTTCATAAAAAGAAGTGCTAAATTGGTGAATGCATTTCAGTTCGAGAATACGGTACGTATTCCAAATTATTTATAACTAATGCACTATGACGCTTATGTGTGCAGAGTCTTTTTTCGTTAACGTAGAAACACAAAGATAAAATATTACATTGTCCGTTTTTTATTCATACTTTTAGTGAATCTATATGACCGATCAGATATACTAAAGTGTATATGTTGGCCAAAAATTATTTAAAATGGCATACATAGACTGTGTTGGCACAGCGCACAATAGTAAAGACTAAAGAGAGCGACGTAGAGTATGTATGCTTCGCTAATCCAAAAATGGATTTGAGTTGAATTCTCATTTTGAAATCCTTTTTTGGTTAGCAGTAAAGATCATACGTTAACGTCAATGGCAACTGTAATTATAAAATTTATTAACGTGACCATACTAGTGCAATAAAGAGTCCAATCAATTTTTTTATTATACATGCACTTTAATTTGGTTTGATCCGTAGTGGGACAATTAGTTCCCTCTTCTGCAAGCTGATAAATATGTACTATATTAATAAAAAGTTTAAACTAATATATTAGGTAAAGTATTCACGCTATACGCAAATCTTCAGTCCTAAAAAAGTTCATTGTTTTTTTTGTGTCTTGTTAGACTTCTCAACGTATATGATGATTTGTTTGGTTTATTTTATTCTTATTGATAAAGAAAAAAATAATAAGTAACCATATAATCGTGTTGATATCCAATTATCCTGGTTAATTTTACTGTCTTGCTTTGAATAAGGTTGAATAGCAACTACTAAAATTTTGATGGACATTTAAACTGTAGTTGATACTTGATAGGAGCTATGAAATTGAAATAGACGTTCACAAGGCTATGAAACTGAACTATTGAAACACTTTTTTTTTTTGTTTTACTATTGAAACACTTATTCTATAAGAAAATTACTTATTTTCGCCTTCGATTAGTCAACTCAACCATTCAAATATTCTTTGTTAATCAAGAAAACTATATATATATAGAAGACTAATTGGTTCTTGATTATTAATACTACTATTTCTTTTCTTATTTACAATTGGCGTACAATGGTCTATTACACGATGTTCTAGCACCCAAATTGGTCTTAGACCATCTCCAACCCAAAACTTCATTTTTTACTTCAAAATAGAGTTGTGTTTTACTTCAATCCTATTCTATTTTGGAGTAAAAAATATAGTGAAGAACAAAAAAAATAGAATGATAATAAATGGGATTACTCCATATTTGGAGTAAACTTATATTTTTCCATTTTGGAACGAAGTTGGAGAGAATTTTATTCCAAATCTTATTTTGGAGTAGGATTGAAGATGTCCCATGTAAAGAATCAACGGTAGAAATAAATTGGCTCTTAAAAATCCATTTTTGCTTTGAGATTTAATTGTGTGGAAAAGCAATTAATGAGAGTTGGTTGGGAGTTTAGTTGTAGGCCAAAGTCAAAAAGCTTGAGTTAGTGAATGAACGTGCTCATGCTTTATACAAAATCTATCAAGACGTTGACGGTCCATGTTTATCCGCAAAATATTTTTACAAAAAATTTAAAAACTAAAAAAATAAATTGGCTGTTTTAATAGTTTGATGAATTTATCTGAATATATTTTTTGTTTTTTTAACTGTTTTGTTAATTCGTCGTTGGTAGCTCAACTATGTGTCAGTTTTATCTACTATTCTGAAAATTGGTCTAAGTGTCTAAGCTGCCACAAATATGAGCACCCTAATCTTAGCTTAATCGGTCGAAATATTGATTAGCACGGAAATGTCAATAGTTTTGTTTATTAATTTAGACGTCCGATTAATCGATTTAGAGGGAG